GGGGACTATACATATAGAAAGGTTTAGAAATAAAAATAAATATGGATTCCCATGTCAGGTTTCTACCAAAAAAAACAACCAACAAAACAAAACCTGCCTTTTTATCTTTTTAAAAATAAATACATTAATATTGCTGGAGTGGAAAAAGTAAGACGACAGAGATAATGGTCTATGCTAACAAATTTAATTACTGGTGCTTCTCTATTATTTGCAGAGATAGACAAGGTAGTAGCACATTACCCTTCTGCCATACAGTTACTTTTCACCGTGGGATGCATTGTTATACATTACTAATTCATAAACTGAATAATACCAATTGCTTTCTATAATGCAGTATAGCTATATATTTATCAAACAAAATGTTTAACAATGCCTTGAATTCTCCATTATCACCACTTTGCAAAAGGCAGTAAGGATTATAGGAAATGTTTATTCTAATACATATAAAAATAATTGAAGAGAAATGTAATGATCATGACTTATTAACCCTTAAAGTAGCAGTGTCCTTGGGAAGAGAAATATTCCAAACAAAAGAATGTGTACTGGAGGCTTATGCTACTCCAAGTTCAAGGTAAGAGTATTCAATCATGTAAAAGAAAGGATTGCTTGGAAACTGATTATTATATTTCACAAGAACTTTGAAAAGAAAGCCTATTTATAAATACTTCTCACAATAAGGGACAGATCCTGCTGCTTTACAAGACAGTGGGCAAAACTGCTTTTGGAGAAAATGTTTCAGGATCAGGCTCTAAATTACAGAAGATTTCTGTTGCTAAAATATATTCTTTTATATTTTGCATTGAAAGACCATACTAGCCTCTACCTGGTGGTTGGTTCTTTTGCAGGACATTTTAAATGCAAAATGTCAACTGAATCTCAGCATTTTTTGTAAATAAAAATAAGATTCATATTAAGTGCTTTGTTAAACAAAACAATATGAAAGTTTAGAGTGAAAGTGATTCCATTTAGTAAGATGGATAGGCTCAAATTTGTTTCCAGCTTTTAGCCTAACAAAACAATTGAGAGATATAATTATTACTGAATGATATAAAACTCTGTCCAAAAAAGAATACAGCACTTCAGACTACTTGGCAAGTTTGGATAATTACCTTTTCTAATATTAATATACCGCCACATCTCAGTACTATTAAATACAATAAGCTTGACTTGGACCTTTAGCTTCTTGGTGCACATTTGCCTTTATTAATATAATAAAGTTATTTTAGTTTCCAAATAATTTTCCAAAATTTACCTACACAACATCAATCATGTCCTATGCATGATAATAGAAAGAAACAAATTGTTATCAGAAAATTATATGCATTTCTCAAGTGAATTTGCATAGCAGAGACATTTAAACAGCAGCATTTGAACTAGAACGTTTTATTGCTGGGAAGATATTGAAAAGTGAGTTTGCTCATCCTGTTCAGTATCTTCCTTCAGTTCTTTCTGTATCTACAGTATTTGTGCACATGTCTAAGACTATATTGAACAAGGAACAACCAATGGGGTATGTTACCCATGACAGCTACTAGAAACATGATTCATTACAGTTAAAGCTGAAGATAGCAGCAGAGATAGCTTACAGTTATTGAGAAAAATCATAAAAGCATTTTCCATATGTAGCTACAATAGATGTATTTTAAACACACACACACACACACGGCATGTTCTCTGATCTGGTATGTGTGCTCTGTACCTAGTTCACTAGAGCAGCGCTTCTCAAAAGTGGGTTGCAAGAATATATGACAGGGTCATGAACAAACTCTAAAAATGGATCAACAAACTTTAAAAATGGATTCTCTTTTAAAAAGGAGAAAAATGTGGGAAACCGTGGCTTTTCCCTTGCAGGCTGGCTGAGTACTGGCTGGCAAGGGGCTGCTTGGGGTCCCCTCTGCCCCATTCACCCACCCCCTGCCCCTCACACCCAGGGGCTGGGGGCAGCAGGTTGGGAGTGAGGGGCACTGGATCAGGACTGGCTATCAATATTTACAAATGGGTCCCAGTACAAAAAAGGTTGAAAACCACTGCACTAGAGCATCTGAAGTAAGGAAAAAAAAAAAAGTCTCAGATTTTTAAGGCTCCTTACCTTACTCTTTGAGACTCCAGCTGACCTGCCCATCGTCGCCTCCGATGTTTTCTGCTCTCCACAAGAAGGACCAAGTAAAAGATGAATAAAATGAGTTTTCCAAAATAAGGCATTTTATGGGAAAGTGTGATGAGACACTCTGCACTCCAATAACCTCCTGCAGTACAAGTCCACTTAGGTTTAAACATTGAATCAGCTATAGTTCCAGGGTCCTGTGTTTGTCAGAGCGATCATTGTTAGAAACACCGCTTTACTGATTTAATGTTTTAGACAGGCTTTCCAGGGCTTCTTACTCTAAGCGCTTCCTTCGTTGCTGCTTCATGATTGGCCATTACTCATGAAGTTTGCCCTGTCAAATGACATTCCCACTGGGTCCTAAAGGAGATGGTTGTCAAAATCCATTATATAAAAAGACTGCAATTCCACATGCCAGCTTTTTGCTCAAGCCACTAATCTCAGAACCGTACTATCCTTCTGCCAGGCTGTTTTTGTTGCTTCTCTTCATTAAGGATCCCAGGGATGTTTATTACATCATGCCTTTTTCAAACAGGGAGCTGTGTGGATACTGTGCGTTTATTAGGATAGGATAAACATATTTTGCACTGATGCACGTATTTTGGCATAGTTTTATAGATTTTGTGTTTTCTTCTAGCTCAATTACGTTACTCAGCTGGGTGGAGCTGTTAGTACAAAGCTGTTGGCTTTTACGATATTAAAAATGTTTTAAGCAGCCCAGAATTTTTCTAGATGAGAACTTTTGCTTTGTAGGTTAAGGATATTAAAATGACTCTTCCTTTGGGGGGGGTGGGGGAAAATCAGTATTTCTCTTCTACTTTATTTTAAAAATAAAAGCAAATGAACCATGATTTGAAATTAGGATACTTATAGTAATCCTCAAAGGTTCAAAAAATAAAAGCACTTATTTATGCCAAAATCTGTGAACCCGTGATTAAATCATAGTCACACCTGACACTGGGGGAAGGGATGTGAGGCAGGGGAGTGGGAACAAGCAGGCACAGTGTGGGAAGGGAGGCTTTTTACACCTATATGGGAATGGGGGTTGGGATTTGTCAGAGGGTTGGCTCCCAAGTGTGACAGGCAGGGAAGTGAAGGTAGGTGATGTGGGGTGGCAGTTGCTAGTTTTGGGTTATGATTTGGGGAATCCACCATTACTGTTTGTCATTTATTGTAAGCCACTGCACTTTTCTGGATAGAGCAAGATATAAAACTAGACAACAACGAGCCATTACTTGTGCAAGTAAGCGTTTGCAGGATTGGACCTTTCACCTGTTACATTATTTTGAAATAAATATGAAAAGTTACAACAGTTTTTTTTAATATAATAATGAGGTGGTTTCAGATGCCTGTTCGAAGTTCATTATTTACTAACTGTAAATAAAATCTTGCCCTTACCTTTGGGCTGGGGGTTTGTTCAGCAGCAGCAGTAAGGATGTTCTGCCACACAACGGTTGGAGTAAGGTTTGGTTAGCACCCTTTGTCTCCCTGGCAACATACTGGACTATTATCCACAGTGCACATCTCCCAAGGGAACAATCTGCAAAACCGTCCTTAGGAACCTTTCTTCCTTATAGCCCTCCTTTGACCAGGTTTGCAGCAGGTACATTCAAACAATGT